TTAGGTAAAAAGTTGATAAATTTTGTAATAAAATTTTATTAAAAATTGGTTAAATTGTTAATTTTTTTATTTTTGGTAAAATATTAGCATTAAAAAATTAATAAAAAAATTATCAAATAAATCATATATAAGAAATAGTTAAAGAGAAACTTTTTTCTTTATAAGAGAAAAAAATTTTACAAGTTGAGAATTATGTCAAGAAAAATAAAAAAATAAAAATATTACTTTTACTTTTATTTTGTTATAATATTAATATATAAAAATACATAAATAACTTTAAAAAAAAAAGAGAAAATTTAAAAAACTTTAATGATAAAAATTTTTTCCTGATCAAATATCTTTTAATAATTTATATTTTATAATTTAATACAATTTAAATTGTAAAATATGATTGTTCGATTGAAATGGCAATCAACTCCAATCCAATACGTTTGTCATTTTCCAGGGTGGACTTAAATCTAATAGAAAAACCACTGAACCTGGACTAGGCTACTTCTCTTTCTTCCCTATCTTAATCACATCTCTCTTAACCTTAATCATCTTCTTCCACGCATTGCTATTCATCTATAGTTACACACTTACACGTCGATTATCTTATCAACTTCTTCGTCAATATTTTCGTCAATCTTACAGCTAATTAATTTCACGCTCTCATTTAATTATATTATCATTGATTGTAAAACCATTTCCTCTAACACCCTATAATGTGCTTACGTGTTTGTATCCAAAATGCTCTTTTGGGTTGATAAATTATACAGTCCAATTCGAAGATTTCCAAATGTTGAATAAAGAGATATTCATGTTGACAGGAGTGACTATTGCATAATTGGTCCCCCCCTCTCTCCTTTGTGCAATAATGTACAAATGGCTCAACGGGAATAACAATCAATTTGCCACATTAAGACGTTTCTATTTATAGACAATTAACTAATATATATATCCTGGTGTTGTGATTCTCCTATAACCTCACCTAATTTAACCAAAAATGTATAGAACCATTAAAAAAAAAGAAAAAAAATTTGATAATGTTATAATTACAATATTAAGTAAAATTGTGAATTTACAGTTATAATATGATATTAAACAAGTAAATAATACAATATTATAGATGAATTCTAAATTTAAAAAGTTAATTATATAACAATACATCATATTTCAAATTTATAATATTATATGATATTAAACTATAGTATTTTTGTTAAAAATTACTTAATTTGTCTAACTAGATTAATCCAACCTTCAATAAAAAACTTATGTGAATAATTTGTGATATCAATTTTTTTTTATTTATACATTAGAGAAATTAATCAAATACTTGACAATATAAAAATTTAAACCCCTAATGTTTGATAATTTGTTGATATCATTGCTCTTGCTTACTCGACATTTAAATTTATGGAGATCTTCAAAATTTTGATAATGTAACATATTGAAAATTTGAGAGTTGAAGCCATGTGATCCAATAAGTGATGAATGTCAATGATAAACTCCAAAAGGACCCGTCTGGACCTTCTCCCACACGAAAGGTTACCCATTGTCTAAATGGGCTTTCCCTAAAATGATCAAAAGGGAAATTGGTCCCCCCACACGACCACTGCCAATTATATCAACATGTGTTAGAAAGGCTATTGAGGCCGAGCGGCCGGCATATATACCACGTGGTGCCGCCAGATCCCCGCATCGGATCTCCTCTACCTCCACAGTGTGAACATTGACCAACAAAAGTGTAGGCTGCAACCTGCACGCAGCTGCCCCTCCATTGAACAATCAATTCAGATGTTTAGCATCTTACATTAAATCAAGTAATCTAATTATGAATGACCATGCCTTCTTTGAAATTTAAGGACCAACACATAATTCCAATTCAATCTTATCATATAAGAATTCTACAATCATATATTATTATAAATTGACTCTATTCACTCAACTTGACGTATGAATTAAATCAATATTACGTTTATTATTATCTTCTTTTTTTTTTGACAAAAGTAATGGTTAGGAAGTTAGTATGAATTAGTTGTTAGCAATTAGGGATTCAATCTCCAAACCAAGTGAACATTCCACTCTTCAAATGAAAAACACGACAATTAAGTCTTTTTTTATGAAGTTTACGACGGTGATAGAGTTTGAAACTCTGATCACCACCTCATGAAAATACTTAAAGTTTGGAATTAAATCATTGAATTTAAAGATCGGATTCTACATTTATTATTATCTAGGACCAGTAAAAGTCGACTAAAGTTAGAACTTAGAAACCAACATGGTTACGTATACTTATTTAATATAAATGGGGAACAAAGACACAGTTGTAATCTTAAAAGCAGAGCTTTAATGCAGGCGTGCATCAAAGAAATGAGACAAAATGGGGCTTGTCTTTTTCTCCAGCTGCTTTGGCGGCTTAATTTTTCTTTTCCAGTTAGCTGTATGAACTCTGTTCCTTGGCATGCTTAACATTAATTAAATTAGATAAAATGACATGTCTGATTCTTTTACTGTTTAAATTTTTTTAATATAAAAATCATCCACCTCTTATAAGTTATGTGTTTAAGTTTTACAAATTTTTTTTTAATTTTTCAATAAATACATGTAAATAATTGTAATTTGTTAAAAAAAATTTCTTTAGTACAATATTAATCTTCCCTTGAAAAATGTGTAATTCTTTGCAAAGAATATGTTCTGTTTATTAGCATATGCACTAATATCTTTTAGTTACAAACGAAATTAACATTAAACAAATCATTCAGTTCATTATCATGGCCTGTTTTGAATGATTGGAGTTTGGATCACCCTGTCTTGTTCTTATTAATTTTCTTAAGGAACGAGTCATGTCTAATTAAGCAGCAAAGCATGACCAGAAAACCTGGAAAATATATACTACACATTATAAAAGCATCGAATTTAGAAATTTAACTTCTCTTTAGTCAACTCTGGGAGTTAAATAATTAACAAAAAATTATTATACAATTTAAATTAGATTAAATGACACAAGTAAAATAAGATTCTACATCAAACTACAAAACATGATTCTCAATAGTCGATCATGAAGCTCTAGGCATAGTTTAACACTTAATTAATTTTAAGAGATTTTTATTGTACTTGTGTCTCTGCAATTTAGAAGACTGGAAACTACTAGCTAAAAGGGGTCAACATTTTCTACTGGGGCTGCTAGTTTGTGCTTATTATCAAACAAGGAAAATAAGTAATATCACTTTCAGTTGAAGTCGAACCCTCTATATATAAACAAAATCTATAAATGTTGCATTATTTTAGTGATTTTACAAGTACTATGTAAGATACAATGCACTGCGTGCCTCTGTATTAATCTTTTTCTTTTGGATATACGATCGTCAAACAAATGATAAAAGTTTTATACCTAACACATAGGCCTTGGAAGAAAAAGGGTCAAAGAAAATGGAGAGAAAAGAAGAAAATAATCCAAAAAGCTTACACCGTTACAGCAAAAATTTTGGTCAAAGACGTTTCAGAATGAGGAAGAAGAGGATTGAATAAATTAAGAGAAATTATATCAACAATACGGTATTAAGAATATTTAGAATGAGAACATGAACACAATTGTCAACTAGGACACCCGGAAAACCAGGATACTTTAGACCAAATTCAAGAAACAATGGATGACTGTCACTCTCATCATTTCAGTTCATTTTCCTGTCTTAGTTATTTCATTTTTTTAATTAATTACCAGATTTTCAATGTCATGTGAATTAGTTTATATTGAAGTTGGTGATTTTGAAACAGTATTGACTTTTGATCATCCTTGTTTGGTATGCAGGTTTGAAAAACAACGGAGGGAAGGCAAGGGAATGAATAAACTTTTTAATTAATTCAATTAGAAAAGTAATTAATGTTATAATTTAATTAGTCAAAAAAGTCGTCAACCGGGCTTGTGGCCCAATTGGTTGGCTCCCAAACTTTAGGGTTTGGGTGAAACGGAGGTTAGGGTTTCGAGCTCTGCCACCGCCGTGAACTCCACCAACTTGCAACCTAATGGTCGTACGCCTCAAATGAGGGGGTGAAACGTTCACTTTTCTG